TTCAAATCTTCTGCACGGACAATAACAATTTTTTGACCTGTTAAAATTTGTTTGGCCACAATTGATGCTAAGCGTCCCAATAAATGTCCTTTTGCATCAATAATAACAACCTTTTTTCATAATAGTATGTATAATTTAAAAAATATTAATTAAAAAAAATTGATTCACGAGTAAATTATTAACTTACCTTTTCAAATTCACTCATGTTGATGAATATATAAATAACTTGCAAAAAATTTTTTTTGAAAAATCTAATTTTTCTAATGATTTACATGTTACATGTCTTGTGTTACAACAAATTGTTTATAAATGGGGCATACTGCAACAAAACCAAAGTGAATAGAACATTGGTATTTCCAAGAATTTCAGGATAAAAATTTAGTCATTTGCAATGTGATCATAATTAACAGTTTTATAATATCCCATTTGTTATCTTAAGTGATATATATATAAAACTATCCCTATATAAAAATAGTTAATATGAAGCTGCTGATAATAGTGGGTCATCATCATCAAGAAGATTGCTTTTTATATAATTTCCAATTGTGCTAAGAATTTCATTTGAATTTTTCCACTAAATTTTTAAAACAAAAATATAATCGCACAGCACTTGCATTAAATCTGACGCCTGCGATCAGCATCAGATTTATTATTCATTTTAAGGAACTATACAATGAGAACTATAATATTTTTTTCGATCCTCCCTATTATTTATTATTGTGAGTCCCAGAGATCTGAATAGACAGGCATTATTAAAAGTTTCATTCATGCATGACCTTGGTATTATTACTACCTGTGTGATGCTGGAATTCATACTCTCTTTCTTTTATAACTCCTATCTGCCCCATCTGCCCTGTCTTCTATTTGGGATCTTGAAATCGAAAAAACGTTCATAATAAGTGATTTACAAATTTTGAGCACGATTGAATATGGTGCTTAAATTCAAAATACATGCACATTTGTGCATGTAGATTTTTATTTTAAATGCACATGTGCATTAATATTGAGATTTGATTTAGTTAATTGGTTAGAAGCATTAAAGTTGTTATCAGCCTTTGAAGCAATTATATAATTAGTTTTTTTTTTTGGTTTTGGATGGTCATTAATATTAAAAGAACCATTAAAAAATTGTGAATTGTTTATCTTGTAATTGTAAACCATTATCTTCCATTTTGAAAAACTTTAAAAGAAAAAAATCATTCCCGATAATTTATCATATGACTACTATATGTGCAAGTTTAAATTTGTATGCACATCTTGTGCATATTTAATCTGTATTTTTAGGTGCACAAAAATTACTGTGCAAGCTTTATTTAAAATATTTAATGCACATGAGTTCAAGGACGTTTTGATTATACCTGCACATTTCAAAAAACACCCGCGCCCGTGCAGCTTGTGCAAGCCAATCTTAAACACCGACTATATATGATAAACATGTTTGCTTCAAAAGTTAACACCTTTTGTACTTCTAAAGTGTTAAGAAGGCTGTATAACAAGTCCTTACTTCTAAATAATAGAGTATCAACCTCGTCAAGAGCATTCCAAGAATTGACAAAGGATGAAAAAGGAGAAAAATTCCATTTTCCAGGAACTAGAAATAGCTATTTTACGAGCAAAATGCAATTTATTCAAAGCATTGATCCTATACCAACATATCGAGTAATGGATGAAAATGGAAAGGTTTTAGCTTCAGATCAGGAGCCGTCTGTAAATATCGATAAACTTACACTTGCATATATATTTTAATTATCCCTCTTCTAATATATGTTTGCTTAAATATGTGACAAAATAGGTATCAAAAGAATTCGCCATCAAAATCTATAAAGATATGCTTACATTAGACACGATGGATCTTATACTTTATGATGCTCAAAGACAAGGACGTATTAGTTTTTATTTGACGAATTATGGGGAAGAGGCATATATTGGTAGTGCTGCAGGATTAGATAGCCAAGATATGATTTTTGGACAATATCGTGAATCAGGAGTGCTATTATATAGAGGATTTACGTTGGAACAATTTATGAATCAATGCTATGGTAATGAAAGGGATTTAGGTAAAGGTAGGCAAATGCCTGTACATTATGGATCTAGAGAATTAAATTTTCAAACTATTTCTTCACCACTTGCAACACAAATTCCACAAGCATCTGGAGCAGCTTATGCATTTAAAAGAGCTGGAAAAAATAATTGCGTTGTATGTTACTTTGGTGAAGGTGCTGCCAGTGAAGGTGATTTTCATGCAGCATTAAATATTGCAGCAACTTTGAAATGCCCTGTTATATTTTTTTGGTATGTATAAACAATATATGTATGTGTATTTCGTTTGTCTGGAAAGCCTTAATGATATATTGAATATAAGATAATTAATCTAAAAAGTTATTTTGGAAAAAATAAAAAAGTCGCAATAATGGATTTGCAATTTCAACACCAGTATCAGAACAATATAAAGGAGATGGTATTGCAAGCCGAGGTATTGGATATGGAATTGATACAATTCGTGTTGATGGAAATGATGTATGGGCTGTTTACAATGTTACGAAAGCAGCACGACGCTTAGCAATTGAAGAACATCGACCAGTTTTAATTGAAGCTATGTCATATAGGGTAGGGCATCATAGTACATCGGATGATTCAACAGCATATCGTTCAAAAGAAGAAGTAGAAGGCTGGAAAAGGTTTGATAATCCAATAGTCAGATTTCGAAAATGGCTTGAAATCAAGGTATTTTTACTTTACCATGTTTTTAATAATTTAATATTTTTTTTATGTGTTTATAATGATAAGCATAAATGATTTATATTGAATTTAGGAATGGTGGAATAATAAAGACGATGAAGAATTTCGACAATATATTCGAAAAGAGATTTTAAAATCATTTTCCAAGGCAGAAAAACTTCAAAAACCATCAATAACAGAATTGTTTAGCGATATATATGATAAACACACACAGAACATTATTAATCAAAAACAAAAATTAAAAGAATTGATTCAAAAATATCCAAATAATTATCCATTAAAAAAATATAAGAACGAAGGCAAAGATTTATAGAAACAAAATTTACTAGACTTGATTAATTAATTAATTATTAACTTTGATTATTCTGCTTGTTATTAAATGTACTATTAGAAAATTTACGAAATTTTTTACTTCAATTCTTGCTATTATTATTATTACTGATTAATAAATACTCGCAATAAATGTGTATTTATCTACTACTTTTTTCACTCAGCATAACATCCATCATATATAATATTATGCAATTATTTATTATCTTTTCCTTACGCACTTTCATTTAAAGATTTGGGATATGTTTGGATGCGAACCAATCTAAAAGTTACATATGAAGCAAAAAATTACATAGTTTTCAGTCAAATAAACAGGATTCAATATAAAATATATAAGGCAGATAAAAATTTATTATGATAAGTTAAATATTTTACAAATTTCATGCTGCTGGTGAATATTTACAAGAAAGCAATATTTTTCTAAACTCAAAAATAGTTATAAGCATACATCAATTATTTATCTCAATTCATTTGAAGACATAAAGACCTGGCATATTAATACTTGAGTTTTAAATTATCATCAATAGGAAAAATTTTGATGATAAATAATGAGGCAACACTAGCAAGTTTCTATATACATCAAAAACTCCATTAAAAACTTCATTAGATAAAAATTGAGGCCTGGATCAAAAAAGAAAATCAGAAAAAAGATAATTCTATTATCATTAGCAGTAGCAGTAGAAATAATTTTTCAAGTAGCAGTAATATAATTTTTGATAGTGATAATAGTAATAATAACAATGATAACAATAGCTAACGTGGACAGGGAAAGGAACTGCCCAATAATTTACAATTTAAAGGGTCTAGGATCCTGGCAGGCATGTTATATGCTTTATTCCTTCCTCTTTGTCCCTGCTCCACAATTCTGTCAGCATAGGCTGGCCTTTACATTGTAATTTATAACATAAAATTATTTTTTTGTATCAAATAAAGTAGCAGGAATTTTATTATTAAACTTTAGGTGAATGTGAAAAAATACAAGTTTGGGACTTTGCTAGTGATACATGACAATGCTAATGTCTAATGTATAATCTGTGGCTTGAAAATTCATCCTGCCTTATATCTATCTAGCAAGTTAGAATATTTGAGCTGTTCCTCCTCAAAAAGCTTTCTCCTCTTTTTTGTGTCCTCCCAACTTGCCATCCCAAAGTCAATCAGGTACACATTGCCATTATTGTTAATTAAGACATTTTCCTCCCGAATGTCATTGTGGAGGATGCCATGCTTGTGAATCATTTCTAATCCCTTAATAGCTCTTGACTTTTGCCGTTTTGTTATTATATGCTAAAACAACATAGTACCAACAATGGTCATGCCAATAACAAAACTCATACCTCCTCCATAATATCCATAGCACACCAACTTTGGGATATACTTGCCTTGGATATCAGCAAGGTCTTTATAAATCTCTACTTCTTTCTGCATTTCTTCCAAAACATATGGTGGGGCTTTTGATAAGTCTACACTCTTCAAAGCAATTGTATCCCCATGAAACTTGCATAGGAGTGTTTTTCCACTTCGTCCTCCACCTAGTATGCTCTTAAACTTAAAGTCCGCAAAGCTAAAATTCTGCTGATGAGGAAGTGATTGTTGTTGGTACACTGATATGCTGGAAGTTTGCCAATTGGCTAGAAGATAATTTTGACTGTGATCGAGAAACATATGAATTATGGGTCTGATTCATTTCATCGACAATCATTTCGTCGAAAATTTGTTTCGTCGAAAGTTCATTTCATCGAAAATTATTTCGTCACAAAAAAAAACTTCATTAAACAAACTTCTCCTCACGCTTCCCTTTCCTCATCTAATTTCTTAACTAACTTCCCGCACTCCTCACATCTAACTCTTTCGGTCTCTGGCTCGAGGATGAATAATTTTCGACGAAATGAACTTTCGATGAACAAACTTTCGACGAAATGGGTGTCGACGAAATGATTGTCGACAAAGTAAACGCGACCGCCACCATTTGACAATAGAGCTCATAATCATCATTTAATTTTTGATAAATGTGAAGGTTTACGACCACCAATATTACCTGAAATGCCCAATAATTACGCACAAATGATGCAAAAGTGTTGGAATGTGGATCCATCAAAAAGACCAACTATTAATGAGCTTTGGCCATTTGCTGTAAATATACATGAAGCAATTCTTAAAAATGAAAGCTTAACAAATAAAAGCTCAAAAATAATGGTTTAATAAAAAGATTATTCAAATTTTCTAAAATTAAAAAACATGAAATTGATTTTAATAATGATGGTGGCAGCAGCAACAATGATGGTAGCAGTGGTGGTGGTGGTGGCGATTTGCAACAAGTACACAAACCGAGAATATTAGATGATGAAATTGCTAAATCAAAAAGCTTAAAAAGTTATATGAGTAATGATGGTACATTAAATAATCTTGATTTTAACTCTCTTCTCTTAAACAAAGGTGAATTAATTGTTCATTCATTACTAATTGATTTTACATTACTACTCATTAACTATTATTACTGATAATCTTTTTTATTCACATTTAATTAATTAATAAACATTAGATTCTAGTAACAACAATAAAGGAAAAGGCTGGGATTAAAATATTGATGAATTGGGAGAATTGATTCGCTTTATAAACCACCACCAATTGGGGTAGTGACCTGAGGTTTTTATATTTTAATAATAGTAGTAGTTTATTTAATTTATTTAATTTATTTAATACAACCCATTAAATTTATACCATATAAAATTTAATATTAATGTTTCTGTAAAAACAAACTTCATTTAAAATTTAATTTTACACGTTACAAATTTCTAATATGCAGTGAAAAACCTTGTTTCAACGAATTATAATTTAAATTCTTGTTGATTGTTACTATTACACATTATTATTATGAAAAAATCAAAATTCGTTGAAAACACGATTAGTAATCTTGTTTCAACGAATTTCGAATGAAATTTCCTTACATGTCCAGCCACTTCGTTGTAACAAGGCTATATTAAAATGTTGTTATCACAATTTTATATATTGTGTGAATCAACAAACCTATATTTCATGTGAAAAATAATTTAATAAAAATTGTTTTAAGACAATAAATGAAATTTTAAATGAATATATTTGTAAGCGATTTAACCAGAGTTTGAACCGCGGTCCGATTAAACCGCGGTTGGTACCTAATCTAAAGAGGTAAGAACAACTGTCGTCATTTAATGAGGGAACGTTAGAGCATCATATGGGATTCCATTCCATCTTCGTTATTTGGGTTCGAGGAAAACATTTTGATAAGATGATAGATAATATTAGCAAACTCCAAAAGTAATATCATTTTTTTTTAAAAAAACAAAAAACAACGAGATATTAGTGCATTGTATTCCGCTTTCATAGGCAAGCGAGGCGTCGCAAGGTAGGAAAGAATAACAACAAGATCCCGATGAAAGATGAAAAGGTTTATGGGCTAAATCCCGATTTCTTTATATACTATACGATCCTGACATAATAGAGAAGTTCGAGTCAGCGTATGATGAAGTAAGTGGGCATCCCTGCCATCAAGTCAGAGTCGAAAAGAAACTAGGGTAAAAATAAAGGAATTGTTGGGGTTCGTCATTGATCTCCAAAATTTTCCATTTTGAACAAGATTATAAAGCCCACCTCAAGGAACTTTATATGTACCATGTATTAATTAATTCTATTCACTCATTGTTTAAATATAATAATAAACATTACACGGTCTAATATATTAGCTGCGGAAGTAACCTGATTTTAAATTTTGCTGCATGATGCAGGAATAAAATTCTAAAGTAATTATTTATTCTTTTTAAATGTTACAAAATTTTAAGAGTTATTATATGTAATATATGAACTCTAATAAAGTTAAAAATTAAAAATATTAAATTATTAATTAACTAGTTGCTTTTAAAATTAAAAAAATATACAAAAAATGTGTATATATTAGTATGTAATAATAATACAAATAGATTTTTTTAAAAAAATAAATACATATATAACTTAATATAACTTATTATTATAGTGTTAAAAGATCCGGGTTCTTATTCTAAACCAGTAAATAAAGATTCAATTAGAACGATTTTAATCAACACCTTCCCCAAAAAAAAAAAAATTTTTTTAACACTTACAAACGGATGCCTCCAACCACATTGGTATTGATATTTGTGATATACTCGATTAGAACTTGTTGAAGTGTTATAGCCCAAATGATACATTAACAAAGTTTTTGAGATGACCAAAGTTTTTGAACATTCATCACATTTTTTGATTTCTCCTAATAAACAATTTTGTATCAAAACATCTGGTGCTAAATCCAATTCACTCAATAATAAATCTGATGCTATTAAAGCCTTATCTGTTTTCATTATTAAACCACTAAAATCATTATTAAAATAAAAATCGAATAATTTCTGAATCACTCATCTGATAATATAATTATAAACCACACCTCCAATAATAATAATAATAATAATAATAATAATGATTTAATTACCTTCCACCAGTACCAATGAATACTCCACAATGTTTTGGTACTTGTATGTTAGCAATATAAATAATAGTTAATAATTCTTTCCATTTATCTTCGCATAATGGAAAATCATCTTCAATCAATCCAACATAAGTTGTTTTAAAATTATCAGCAACAAAATGCAAAGCTTTTGAAACATGCAATCTTTGGTCTACTTCCCAACCTTCTTCACGATGAAATTTTAAATAGTTTTGAGCTTTGGAGTTATTTGAATAGATTGCCTGAACATTGTCAAATACAATGTGGTCTGTGAAATGAGTATAAACGATGATTTGAGTTCTGGCGTATAATGAATCCTTTTCAGGTTTATCAGGAAAATTATTCAGGTATGAGTCAATTGTTTTTGATAAAAAGTCGGGATCACCACGTCTTGGAGCAGTCATTAATAAAAATGTAATTAAAAATCCATCTTCTGGATGAACTGCGTTCAATGTCGATTCTTCTACAAAATCCGGCCTTGTATATATAAAATTTGCTAGCAATAAAAAAAATAGTGATATTATCACTACTAAAAAACTTTTTTTAACCCCTTTAAATAATTTTCTAAAAATTTTATGCTTTTGATTAATTTTTTCACCACTGCTACTGTTTTTATAATTATAATTATTATCATCATCATCATCATCATCATTAATATTTATTCCAATTGTTGTAGATGCTATTGGTGATGACGGTGATGGTGATGGTGATGGTGATGATGATGAATTGGAATGATTTAAGACTTGTGCATTTAAATCATCACTTGATTTGTTGATATTAAGATTGCCCAGATCATTGTCACTACTATCATAATCTATTATATTATTATTATTATTATTATTACTAATGTTATTAGTATTATTTTTTAATAAAATTATATGTATTATAATAGTTGTAAAGAATCCAGTGAGTAAACCAGTCATTGACCACCATAAAATATTTTTTTGTGTATAATTTAACATGCACAAGAAAAATTGTAATGTAATTTTTCTTAATGTAATTTTTGTGTGAAGTTTATCACCATAATAAATAACATACCTATCTTCTATATTTAGAGATTGTAAAACTAGTAAACAAAATAAAAATGGTGCTAAACCTATAAATTTAATTTGGAAATTGATATTAGAAATTGATGAAGATAATGAAATTAACATGTAAAGATGAAGATTAAGATAATTGAAAATATTGCACATATATATATATATATATTATATATTACATTAAATATATATATAAAATAAGTAAAAAAAATCAATTATTCATTCATTACCTTGATTACATTCATGTAACGAATCATTAAAAAATAAAATTGGAAATGTCCAGCCAGTTGATCTTGTAAATATATATCCGGTAATCTGTCTTAACATGCAAACTTCAAATATCATAAATAAAACAGTGCGCAAGAATTTTTTAGTTCCTCCCAACATTGAAGTTAAAGATTCCTCAAATAATCCAAATGTCAACAAATTGGTAGAAGCCAAAAAAATACTTATCAGTGAAGGTGAGAATAAGAAAGGTGAAAATATTAAATTTATAAATTCAGAATTGTAAATAACAAATAAAGGTGCTGAACATTTTAATGTTATTAAACCTGTCCAATTTAATGATGAAAATATTATTGAAAATAGCATGAAATATCTTGTGACCATTGGTAAAGGCCATAAAATGAATTTATTATTGTTATTGTTGTTGTTGTTGTAGTTGTTGTTGTTGTTGTCGTTGATATTATTGCCATTATTATTATAATCATTCCCATCACTATCATTATCAGTTCCAACAGGCGAATTAAATATTGAGGAACTACCATATTGTTGAAATAGTTTTTTGTGCGGACTGAAATATGTTGATATTAAAGTGGTCATGGAAAAACAATCAATATTTCTACTACTAGTAATAGTGTCCGTTATCTCTTTTATATATAATGTTAACAGTGTATATATATCTGATAAATATTAATTATTAATTAAAATTTTAGTCAACACACGAAATATATCTAATTGTGGTTAATGACGTGAAAAAGAAAAAGGGAATGAAGAAACTAACAAAAAGGAAAAGAAAAAATATACCTAATGAGGAACAAAAGACAAAAGAAAGAAAAGGATGAGAAAAAAAGCAATAATAACAAAATATTAATCAAATTAAAATATTATATCTTTACAGCTGTGTTTGTGTAAATTTGAGAAAAAAATTTTAGAGAACCTCTTTATATATAAATAACTATTATCGCACAAATCACGATATATAAAAATAGTACAAAAATCCCCAATATGTCTTGTGCATTCTTGGAGAATTTGCTTGCGCCAAAAAAAAATAATATGGATTACTATTTCTGATAGATTTAACATTTTTAAGAAGAATGGGGTTGATCATTTATAATTTTTCTTTTTAATTAAATTATATAATATCCTGCCATAATGAGGTGATACAATACCAACAGTTGCTACTGTAGTTAAACGTGCTTCCCGTCCTTAACTTTTTCCATAATTGCCCGGCAAAAAAAGATTGCTCTCTTTGGGTGGGTTAAACTTAATTAAGCAATAAAGAGCTTTAGATTTGCTACAATGGCAATTCCTAATTTACCCTCGATATTTAACGATATTTTAGATTAATAATTATAATGATCTTTCATAAATAATTAGAAAATTATTAATAATAACCTTAATTAAGACCATCTTGTTCTTTTTATAGATTGTGCTTGTGAATTTTCAAGATCCATTGACAACAAACAATTCATTATTATAGATTCTTGCCATATTATAATGTTCTAATTATAATGTCCCAACGCAAAATAAAAGACGTTTGGATTCTTTAAATATTTCCATTATTTTTCTCCTTTTGTTAAATACGTTTTCATTAAACCTACCTTTCAACAACTTGACACCCTCTTCTTGCTCTATCTTCTCTTTACTTTTAATTAAACCAGGACCCCGCAAACTATGTAGATAGATTACTGCCACAGCCGAGTCAAATCTTATAGTAAAAGACCTAAAAATTTTACTATTAGAAAATGCAAATGTTGGTGAAAATTACCAAATTTGGAGGATTGTCTCCAATAAGCTAATAACAGCGTGGGTCAAACCCGTGATTTTTGTAACCTATCTATATGGTTTGTGGGTCCTATTAAACCTCATTCATAAATAAATTTTGTTTAGTTGCTATATGTTATAATAATAGTATTGTAAGTACACAATTACACACATGCATAAATATATATTTTAATTCTTCAAGAGATAATGGTATATTTGTATCGACTACATATGATAATTCTAGTGTGCTCATTTTTTTTTTTTTTTGGAAATAAAGATGCGATGAGTTGGAGTATAAGTTGACAGATGAGGAATGGAGGAATGATGAACAAAAGAAGAATCGGAAAGAGCAAAGCGCAAAGAGACGAGTTGAAAAAAGAAAAGTAAAAGCTGGAGGAGGACAAGAAGGATAAGTGGGAGCGTGTTAAATATTTGCAACATGCATTGATTGAGTTTGGCAAAGAAAAAGGCAATGAACGAATTACACGTAAAAAAACATACAAAAAATTACTTTCACTCATTCCGTTCCGTTTATTTATTTATCTGTTTGAGAGAGCATTTGTATATCGTTTGTCTTTCTTATCATATTTTTTATTATTTATTCACCACTACCATTTTCTTGTGTCATTGAATATGTCTATTAATCAGATGTGCATTATTTATGTATTCATTCCTTCTGATTATGTGATGTGACTAATTCTTGAATAAAGTATTTAATTAATTTTTTGTATCAATACACTTTTTAGGAGAAAGGATGAAATGGATAATTTTATGCCTCCAAATTTTTTCATCGCACATATATAACAAGTGTGTTATCAGGAAAAAAAAAATGAAGAGAAAGTGGAAATGATCATTTTGCTTTTTTGATTGCTTTGCTCGTTTTTCATTGTTTGTTGTCTAACTTGATATCTTTTTTACGTTGTTATTGCTTGCAGACTGGCTCCATGAGGAATTAAATGACATCTGGACTATTAGGGAAGAGGATGCCAAAAACCTCCCTCCACTGTTATAATTTATTAATATAGAATTATTTAATTACCAGTCAATTAGTTTGTTGGTTCCCAAAAAATTTTATTCGCTTGGTCAAAAAATGACATTATTTATAACGATTTAAAAATATAAAACGAAAAAGACTAAGTCACATGTCCAACATACAATTGGATGACACTTTGATAAATCCCGTGATTGTTCAGGGTCCTGCCATGCCCATATATACACAAATACCGAATTTTTGGGTCAAAATCTCAATTAGTATTATTACTGGTATATAATATATATATATATTCTATTATATATGTTGTAGAACCTTACAATACCTAACCACTTGTTCATCAAAGGAAGGAAATTCATATAAATCCATCGATTACTATCAAACCTTTTTTTTAAATATTAATACGTATTTTTAAAGATAATAAGATGTTCAGACAAAAATTTATACTCATATAATTGCGAATTTGAATTATCTTCTCAAGATCATGATTGATGATGAATTTCTGCGACGAAGAAAGAAAAATCAACATCTGCCAGTGGTTATACCAAGAATCTGATTGCTTCTACTGCATTTAAAAATATTATTTCTGCTCAAATTCTGTTATTTTATTTGCAATTCTGCTATAAAACAATTAATCAAAAATAGTTAAAAACAGTTAATAAAAATAGTTAAAATAAAAAACTCTATCACTATTATTTATTATTATTATCACTACAACCAATCACTACAACTATTATTATCAATTGACTAAAAAGAAAAAAGATTAATTACTTCTGCCATTACTATGATTATTATCACTAAAAGGAAAAATAGAACCTGACAAAGAAAAATTTTTTAATTGGGTTGGACTATATTGGATTAGCAAATGTGCATATATACTATTACTATTACTATTACTATCGAATTATTCATTGTTTGTTTTTTTATTCAAATAGAAACTAACCTATTTCCATAGAGCTAACATATTCGGCCATTGTGATGAAATAACAAAAATAAAAATTTTAACCTAACCATGTGATTTATAATTGCGTGACAGGTTTGTTACAAAAACAGAAAGATATTCGTCATTTAGACGTAATAGTAGTAATCATTCCTGTTAGTTTTATATATGAATATGGAACTTTTTGGAATTTGGCACAATGGCGCAGTGAACTGGCAGCATATTAAATATATATATGTATGTTCTTAAAACCAGCAATTAACTTAATAAAAGTTTCAATTAACACTGTTTATTTATAAATTATGGCAAACGAATTCACTAACATTATCCAATTACCATATGAAATATTTATAGAAATTTTTAAAAAGTTGGATTGTGAATCGTTATGTAACTTGAACCATGTTTCAAGATATTTCAAACATTTATCAACTGACAATCAAGTGTGGATGAATTTATCAATTAATCGATGGAAAGATAAACAAGGAATCAAGGATATAGTTTATAATGAATCAGAGATTGGATGTTTGAAGGATTTGTTATCTATTAAACATGGTTCATGGAAAGAATTATACGGAAAAATTGAATCGGAAGCAAAGAGAAATAAATTAAAAGATGATGATTTATGTGAAACCAGTTGGAGTTTCAAGGTAAACCCTACTCATTATTATATAATTATTTATTTGTATGCTAGTGCTAATTCTTTTTATTTCATAGTTTAGTTTATATACGTTATCTTACAATATTGGAAAACCAAAATTTCATCGCAATGGAATTTATACACATAATGGTGTTATGAATGGAGTATTCGTTGTACGTACAGTAATTATCTGATTATCTTTAAATATACATATTATTAATTAAATTTCTTTACTATAATTAAAAATAATAATAATAAAGTGGAAATTTTCAAAAGATGGCGAAGTGGTAGTTGGTAGATTTCCTCCCTTGGCTGGATCAAGATTATCGGAGGATTGGAGTCTACAACTAATGAATTTCCATGTGACATTCAATTCAACTAATATTTCGGGATTCAGAAAAGTGATTATTGAATTTGCTAATTATTTAATCAAAACATATTGTATAAACATACAAGAACTAACAAATTATCAAGATTTAAAAAATTTCTTGGATTTCGATTTTAAAAAACTGACTGATGACAATGATGATGATCTTATTCATGGATTTGAGACGTTTTTTGGTGATACGGTTGGAATTGATGATTTTATTTTTGATGATGATGATGATGATGACGATGATGATGATGATGACTACGACAACGATGATGATGATGACTACGACAACGATGATGATGATGATGATGATGACTACGACAACGACGATGATGGAGGAGATATTGATGAAGGAAGTGATGGAAATGATGTTAATTGTATGATTTAAGCAAAGGTAATTACAACAGACAATCAATTTAATAAATAGTACTAGTATGCTTTTTAGTATAACGTTATTATTTTGTTTGAAAATTTTATTTATTTATCTATTTAAATATATATATATATACTGTATATATAATACATTAAGTTCGTAATAAATACATAAATTGTTAATTGTTATAAATAAATAAGTAAAAAAATAATCTTTTTCTATATTTTATTCCCAAAGTTTAAACCTTCCCCTCTAAAATAATAATACATTAATTTACCCATCAATAACAAACTCTTTACCAATTAAAGCTTTGCAAATAGCAACATCACGTTGCGTAATTACAAAAAAACTACCAAGAGCATTGGTTGCAGGATCACCCGACAATCTAACACTATCCTGAATGGTACTAAAAGTTGATGAACCACCTAATTGAAATATAGGATTTATCATACCGGTCAAATCATTGATAACCGTCCCTTTATCATTAACTATTTTAAATGTATATTTTCCTTCAACATCGTCTAATAGATTATTAAGATATCCGGTTATTGATGTTTTACCATCGGATGGTTGATAAAATATTAAAAGCCCTGTCATCTTTCCATTTTTTAATGGGACAGGAGGTGCAACATCTGATGCAACCTTAGCTGACGCTAAAACTGTTGGAAAATCTGATTTGTTTGGCGGCGTATTTGGTGGTGCTGGTGCTGGTGCTGTTGTTGGTTCTGAACCTGGTAGTGAGGTTGTCGGATTCGGATTGCTTGGATTTGGATTTGCTGGTGGTGGGTTATTTGGGTTATTTGGATCTGGTGTTGGCTGTGGTGATGGGTTATTTGGATTATTTGGATCTGGTGTTGGCTGTGGTGATGGGTTATTTGGGTTATTTGGATCTGGTGTTGGTGGTGGTGGAGTTGCTGGTGATGACGGACTTTCTGGAGCTGGTGATGACGGATTTTCTGGAGCTGCTGTTGACGACGGATTTTCTGGAACTGTTGTTGGCGATGATGGACTATCCGAAGTTGGTTTAGTTGGTTTATTCGAACTTTTAGTAGTTTTGTAATGAAAATCTAACCCTTCACATGTTGATAAAGCTCCTAAACTTGCAATTAATATTAAAACAATTAATATAAACTTCATATTCGCTTCTATATGTATATTTTATAATTTATTACTGTTATTAGTTTATTTATTTAAACTATTAAACGACGGAAACATTTATTGTTATTATTATTATTATTATTATTATTATTATTTTTATATATACGTAAAAAAATTTCTTTAGTGAAAAAAAAAGGAGAAAAAATTTTTTACACAACAATAATAATAATAAACTAAATTGAATTCGTTTATAAAAAATAAATATTTATTTTTGTAATATTTATAAATATATTTTGAGTATTTATATATTCCCATAGTTGGAATTTTTTTCTAAATTAACATTTGATTGACGACGTGTAACTATTGTTATATATAAAATGCATTGTTAATGGAACAAGTTTATAATATTAAAAAGTTGATGATGATGATTATGAGTGATGATGTACAAATAAATTTTATAAGTGAATAAATAATAATAAAAATTTTGACTAATTAATTAATTAATTAATTAATTAATTAATTATTAAGTTAATGAATCTATAAAAAATCTAATATATTATTAATAAATTTTAATTTTAACTTTTTTACCATAATTGAATTTTATTTACAAAAGATTTGGTTTCTCTAGCTTCCCAATACCCTCCTTTATAAACCCACTCGTCGTCTTTCAACTCAAACCATTGTGGTTCCCATGTCTTTCCTTGAGTTTCAAGTTCTTTCCGAAATTCACGTTGTTTCTGTTCAAGTCGAAGCTTTTCACCTTCCGCCTGGTCAACAGCACCATCCTCAAAAAGTCTTTGATCAGGTCTTAGCCGCGTATCAGTATTTGGCAAGTATTCTGATATATCTGGCGTAATCTCGTTAAGCTCTATTGTAAATGGCATAAATCCATAATACTCTTCATAGTTTGGTAATGGTGGATTTGCTTTCCAAAGTACTTCCAATTGATTAGGTGCTTTCTCATTAAATATTATTTCGTTCCATCTACCCACGATCTTGCCACATTTCTTGCCAGTTGATGAAAACAACACTCCAACAATCTCACTTTTCGGTCCGCTACTCCACAATCCACTCGTTGTAAATGTGATTTCACATACTTCTTTTGTCGTTTGATTTTGTATACGGATTACACCTGTATGTTCCAAATACTTTGTACCAGATATCATATTACGCATCCATGTAGTAGGCTTATTAAACGAAAAGTGGTCATTATTCTTTGGAAGTTTTATGTGCACTGTACCGTATGGTATTACTTCCTAAAAAAAATGTTTTATAAATTATTAAATAGTAATAATAAAATTTTATAATTATTATTTAGCTATTTAGTCATTTGATGATTATTACCATTGATTTGCCCCAAAATTTACTTTTTGCTTTTGAATCTTGCCAAAATATCCAATTTGGTGATTCAGCATGACACTAAAATAATAAAAAAAAAAAAAAACAAGATTTACAATTAATAAATAACACAATTATTGGAAAAATATAAATAATATGAATTCTATATAATGTCAATTACTTACAGCCATTATTGGTGGATGATGACTAACTTTTTCAGAAATAAATTTAAATCCTGATAAAAAAAAAATCATTATTCATTTATTCATTTATTATATTTTAGTTTTTTACTAAAAATCAAGCCCTTAAATCATAATATTATAAAGGTACCTTTTACGGGATGAACCAATTCATAAGTTTCACCGTGTAATGGATTAAACGGTTTTCTACCAGTACGATATTGAGATGAGGCATAACCTGAAACAGCAAATGCAGCAACATACATCAACCTCATCAACGAATCATCAGATGAATTTGCTTTATCCAACAACTCGCTGTACTCTAAATCTTCAGCTAATTTTTGAAGCAAGTTTATCGGCTCGTTCAATGATATAGGCATAGCTATGGTTGACATGTCTTTTCCAACATTTTTACGAAGTAGAGATAAAAGACTAACTTCTTCACCACATATAGGTGATGGAAGTATTTTCCTTCTACGAATAGTCATTTTACGTGTAGCTTCTGATATTTTTTGTGAAGGTTCCGCTTTATCTACACTATCATCATCATCTACTTTCACTTCAATATTCTCGTCATCTTTCTTAGTTGCATCGTCATTGAATGACGCGTCTAATGATGATGACTCGTCCTCACTTTCATCTTCAATGATTTCAACATTAGAAACCTCGCCTTCACTATCATCTGCGTTGATAGTTTCGGAGGTTAAAACAATGTCTTCAGCATCAAAGAATACATCAGTATTTATAGTACTCAAAGATTCGGCACGTTTATAAATTCTTTCTCCGTTATCTAATTTTTCCTGATACTCGGCGTCACCATCATTATTATAGAAATGATCACTTTTTTCCATTGTTGTTGTTGCAGTAACAGAATTAGAAAGTTGTTTACGTAGTTCAGCATTTTCAGCTGATAGTTTACGATAGGCGTGATCTAATGCTTTCCATTTCTCAAATTCTATACGTAATAAATCCAATATTTTTTTCTTGTCGTCTTTGACAGCTGAAAACGTTGAAAAAAGTTTATCATAGATTGGCTCCATTGAAATGAAATTTGATCGTGGAGTTGATGGTGTTGTTGGAGTTGGTGGTGTGGTTAATTCACCACTTAGACTTGTTGATGATGAAGCTATATTAATATTTTATTTTTATTTATATTTATTAATTAGATGAATATTATAATATTTGTTTGTTTTTTTTATTGTGTTCAAGTTAAAAGAAATTTTACCTTTTTGAAGAGTGAATTTTTTTAATCGAAACTTTCCTTCAACACTTGGTGAAGCTTTTGGAATAGCAAAAGGTGAAACAGGTGACTCTATCGAATTTTTCAATGTTTCCAAAGTTTCATCAATGGTATTAAACTTATCATCCATACTATTTAAATGATCATAAATTTTTCCCAAATCTTCTTCCAACTTGTTTGATCTGAAGAAAGCCTGTGGGTCACGGGTAAGACTATGGCGTCTCTTTATCAAACTTTGACGTCGTTCTATTAGACTTTGTCGCTTACGGTATATGCTTTGATGTCTTTCGAATTCGGTGGATTGTCTTGGTGAGCTAATAATTGGGTATTCTGAGTCAAGGATTTGTAGGTCTTTTGATAGGTTGATGTATTTACGAATAAAGCTCATCCATGATTCAAATTCTTCGTCTGTCAATGTTTTAAAATGATAGGTTGCTGTCCCTGAATCTAGTGTTATAGAACGATATGGTTGGCTGGATGATACAGCTGAAAATGCTATATGAATTGAACCTCTACATGGACCATCAGGAAATTGATAATAGGATAAGATTCCATTATCAATTTGTACCCATCTTTTTGCCCAACCTGTTTGTTATTATGAAAGAGAGAGGTAGAAGGAAGGAAGGAATGGAAATCAATAATTGGAATTATATACATTACATGAAACATAATTAACATTACTGAACCTTGTATTTTCTTTCTTTTTTTCTTTAACATCCAACCAGAAGTTTCAGGTAAAGGTTTATCTTGATCATCATCTGAGCCTATTTGTTATTTACAATAAATATATTAAAATACATGTAATGATTGCTATAACGAACTCATTATTGTTATTGTTATTGTTATTGTTATTGTTATTGTTATTACCTTCTTTTACTGCAACGTAAAAAGTTAACGACTTTGATGTATTTCTAGAGAAAGAATTATCTAATCATTATAAAATATTGTCATCACAGTAAATGAAATATTGCATCCAACCAAATTAAATAATATATATAGAAATATATAAAAATGACAAACAATAAAAGTACCAAAAACCAAACAATAAATTCCTTCATCTTGAACTTTATAACTGCCTTTTATGGTTGCAGTAGCAGAATTATAATGTTCAATTGGTAAAATTTCTTTCAAACCCGGATCTTTAATTATTTGCAAAGAAACAGATTTTTTTCGACCACGGAATGCATTAACACCACCATTAATAGCAGCACCAGGCGTAGAAGGAGAATGAAGTGGGTTTAAAGTAGAGGTGGAATTGGTCCACTCAGCGCTGTTGTTATTGTCTTTTTGGGAAGAGTCGCTGGTATCTTCAGTGTCATTGGTATCAACAGATGTTATACTTATGTTACTTTTTAGACTGGGTCTTGCTGAATTAGGTATCCCATAACCGCTATTATGACCAATACCACCACTTCCCCCTCCGTCTTCTTTTATTGTAGAAGTCGTAGGTGTGGCTCCGGTAGTATTATTTTTGATGCTATTAGCAAGAGTAGTATTAAGATTAAGATTAGCAACTGTTGCGATGTTGTTGGCTGTAGTGATGTGTGAGTTAGTTGATGTAGAAATATTATGACCTTTTCGTTGATATAAACCAAAAGAGATATTCTTTCTTTTTGTTGTAAACGACCATAAAATAGTTTTGTCCTTTTGAACATTTATGTAATGAATGAAAACATCTCTTGCTGCAACTTCCACTTCTTGCATCTTTTGTTATTATATTTTAATATAATAAATAATAATTTTATTTAAAAAATTTGTTATATAATTGAGAGGCAAGGAAGATTTTTTCTTGATTTGTGATTTTTGATGATACGAAAAACAAATAAATGAAAGTTGTACAAATTTAAATTTTCCTTTCTTTTTTTTCCAAATGAAAATTTCAAACAAAGTTAATTTTAATTATAAACATTTTTACATATTAAATATTGAATAACTAACTAAACAATTAATAAAAAACACCTATAAAAAATAATTCTCTTTATGGAATTTCCAGACTTGGGCAAACACTGTTCAGATCCTAATTGTAAACAATTAGATTACTTACCTGTAAAGTGTCAATATTGTAAAAAAGATTATTGCAACGAACATTTTAAGCCAAATGATCATAATTGTACCAATGCACCAAGTGAAGATGGTGTAAAAGTGCCGGTTTGCCCTGTATGTAATCAACCTATTCCGGTTGCCAAAGGGGAAGATCCTAATATCAGAGTAAGTATTTGGTCATTTTTTTATATGTAAAAAAAAGAAGGAACTTTTGCGACCTCCTATATTTTTTTCTTTCTTCGTCTTCGTCTTCACCTTCATTTTATTCTTCGTTTATCCTTTTAGATGAATATTCATATAGAAAATGACTGTAATAAACCTGTTAAATCCACTTCGAAGCCATTTAATTCATGTTCCTTTGGTAAATGCAAGAATCGTATAGCAGTCAAGATAATGTGTTCAGGGTGTGGAAAAAGTTATTGTATTAAACATCGACTAGAACCTGATCATAAGTGTGAGGAAATACAAAAAGAAAATAAATTGGTAAACGTTAGGAAATTCGATAGAAGCAGCAACAACAACAACAACAACAACAACAACAACAACAACAACAACAATACTAGTGCTATTAATACTATTAGCAATAATATTTCTAATATTATTAACAGCAGTGGTAATAATAGTGGTGGCGGTAGTAATTATACCCATACTAGAAATAAATCACAAAAAAATTCAATAAAAAATTTTTTTGGAAAATTATTTAAATCATCATAGAATCACTAGAATTAATAATCATTATATATCATCTTTACATATTTATACTGGAAAAGTTTTATTTGTTTTATTTAAGTTAGAGTTGGAGGTTATTTGACATTCAATAGTTAGAATTAGACTTTACTTAATCTTTATTATTGATTTATTGAGTTTTTATGTATTTTATTAAACATGTTGTTTATCAACACATTTATTTTATTCTATCTATTAAATAAATTTATATATAGATACATTAATTATTATCAACCAACAAACTATACTAATACTAATTATTATTATATGAATAAAAATTTAAATTTAAACATGTTTATTAAAAATCACATGAAATTAACGATTTCGTCTGTGCCAATAAAATAACGCGTTTATCACGTGAAGCTTTAGAAAATTCGATTAATTATACCAATACATTAGTGCGTGTAACCAATTATTTAATATTCTCTCACAAAAATTTAATTTTCAGCGATAACAACGAATATATTAATCATAACAATAACAAACAATAACAATAACAATAACAACTACGAAGACGACGACAACAACAGCAGCGGCAATAACAATAATAGTAATAAATTAAAAAATTTATTATCAATCTAAAAATCTAAATCTAAATCTAAATTTAAAAATCATCATCATCCGAAATAAAATAAAATGACATCAGAGAATAATAATCGATCAATTTCAATAGTATCTTCCTCCTCTTCTTCTTTACCACAATCATCTTCATTATCGTCATCCTCTTCTTCAGTATCAACGATAACTAATTCAACAACAATAAATACATCATTACCATCTACTGCGACTACTTCGTCTTCTAATGTATTATCATATGATCGACCATTTAGTACTTATAGTTGGAAAGTTGCCAGTTTTCAACAATACATTAAGAATACAAGAAATGGTGATATATTTTATAGTCCTAGATTCTGGATACCACAATTAATAGATAGCAACAATGTAATCAGCACTACTGCTAGCACTACTACTATTAATAATAATAATAACAATGCTAGTACTAGTAATAATGATGATCTTGGATTAAGTGGAAATGGTAATGGTAGTAGTAATATCATTGTCTCTAATAATAATAGTAATAATAACAGTAACAATGATGTTATTACTAACAATACTAATAGCAACAATGAAATTATTACTATTAACAATAGTAGTGGTGGTGGCGGTGGTGATGACGGTGGTGGTGATGATGATGAATTAATGTCAAAAGGTTCATTGTGGAGATTACAAATCCATCCTAATGGATTTAAACCAGGACATCAAAATAATATATCGTTATTTCTACAAGCAATTCAAACACCATATGAACGACAGAATAATATACCAACAAGACATCAACGATACAAATTGGAACTGGAAAAGATAGATTATGAAGGGGATGTGGCAACTGATCCTAAAATCATAGCAGAATATCAAATAATTAATAAAGATTTTGAGTTTGGTAAAGAGAGCTGGGGGTATCCAAAGTTTTGTTCATTTGACAAATTATTTCCAGATGGGAATAGAACGAAAGAAATAGATTTGATTTTCATAGTACATTTCTTTCATAATGAGGAATACAATAAGATTTTGGAAGAGAGTGTCAAAAAGAATTTTTTGATCAGAAATGAATATTACTTCAATAATGAAATATTCTCTGATATTGAGTTTGTGCTAGATTCAGGTAATATTATCAAAGCACATAGAGTCATTGTAGCAGCAGGGTCCAAATATTTTAAAAATATGTTGGAAGGAGGATGGAAAGAACAAAATATGAAATCAATACCAATAAAGAATATTAAAGATGAGACATTCAAAGCAATATTGTACAATTTGTATACAGACAAGATCATTGAAGGATTAGATTTCAAAGTAATGAAGGATATTTATATACAGGCAGATATGATTGGACTGGATAGATTACAGAATTTGGCACAAATGAAGTTAGTAGAGATGATATCAGAAGATAATTGGGATGATATATTAATATTTAGTTGGGAATGTGGTAATAATTATTTAAAATCCATGGTGTTGAACTTTATTGCTAATAATTGGGAAAATATTAAAAAAAATGAAAACACTCAGAAAATATTTAAAACTGGTAATATTGAATACATTGAAGAATTAATGTCTGCTGTCATTAAAAGAAAAGAATTATGAATGAGGCGAGGTGAGAAGATGTGTGTGTGTGTGTGTATGTGTACGAATAAGGTGAATTTAGAACTGGATGGATAGAAAAAATGATCTTTAAAGAAATTTTTATAGAATGAATATATATATATAGTTAAAAGAATCTTACTATTATAATAATAATAATAATATTTATTTATTTATTTATTTAATTCAATTCAATTCAATAATAATAATAAATAAATTATTATTTATATAATAAATAATTTAATCTATAATTACATATACAAAAAATTTTTATTATAGTTACTATTGTATTTTAATATCTTATTATTATTATTTAAATTTTGAAAAAGAAAGCTAAACACATAGTTATGCTACACATTAATTGTTTAATTAAATTATCATTTACTAAATATATAATTTTACTTTTTATTTTTTTATTTTCTAGCTTATTAATTTAATTGTCTTCGCTTAATAACATATTTGGTATCCCATTTTTGATTGGGTATACATGTTGACAGTTTGGACATTTCATTTTTCCTTGTTGAATGTGTGTCTTTATGATTGATTAATGGATTAATTAATGTATTATAGAATTAATAAAGACGCGTTTTTTTAATACATTGTTTTTAGGTCAACGATAATGATTTACCTCTAATAAAACTCTGTGTAAATTTTTCAAGAATTCTTCGTCAAACTCTCCGTTTGAGAGATTTGGTAAAGTTTCAGGTAATATTTTAATATTAACCTTTTATTAAAATAATAAATATTTTGGGAAGATGAAAAAAGAGAAGAAATAATAAATGATTAATTAGATTCGATGACAATCAAGAAGAAACCTAAAAAACTAAAACAACGCGTTTCCTCCATCCAATCCATCCATCCATCCATCCATCCATCCATCCATCCATCCATCCATCCATCCATTCATCAATCAATCAATCAGATAACCATTACTAACCTGTAAAGCAGTTTTTACCAAAGCATCCCAATCTAATTTTGATATCATGTTACGTATAAACTGTGGACTGAAATCTGCCTCTTGAGTTTCTATCTCAACTTCAAAAAGATCTAATGGAAAATTATTTGAATTGCAACCTTTGGCATGACATTGGAGCATATTATGAGTTACTAAACGCATTTTTTTATTATATTGAAAAATATTTAAAGGACTTTCTTGGTGATTTGAAAAAAAAATTTTAAATTTGAGGATGTGAAGGAAAATATTTTGTAATGTGAAAAAGGATTATTTATGAATAAATATATAATAATTATTACAATATTTTTGTTTTCACAATTATTATCTAAAATATTTATGGTCCAATTATTTTAAAGAAATTTTTTTCAAGTTAGTTACCTAGCAGAACCATTCATTATTAAGTAACACAACATATGGCATTATAAAAAAATTTTTTCCATATTATTAAAAGGAAAAATGAATCAAATCTTCTTTTTTAAATCTGCTTTTTCTTCAGGTAAAAAATTTAATTTTCTATAATTTTTTTAATTATTGTTTTCTTCCTTCTTTATATAATCAATTTACTTGCGGCAACCATTATTTAATTAACTAAATTGTTTTTTAGCGCAGCGGCGATTAATACTCCCTGCTGTTTCCTTTTTCCACGCTTCTTCTATTACAAGAACTGGAAAAACATTAGAAGGATCCGTTGGCACTTTTGATAATTTGGTCTTGAAAGCAAAAGAGCCTGTTATTGTAGATTTTTATGCAGAGTATGTTGTAATAATAATAGCAATAATAATAACAATAATATGATGATGTAAAATGAATTATTATTAACTATGATATGTGATTATGATGGCGATGACGATGATAGCTGGTGTAATCCTTGCAAAATTCTTGGACCAGTTCTTGAACGGGAAGTTGCTAATAATTCTAAAGTCACTTTGGTAAAACTAAATGCGGATGAAAACCATTCACTTGCCAGCGAATATGAGGTATCAATCATTTGTTATATTGAAACATAGTAATAATAATAATAATGATGTAATAGTAATAGAATAGTAATATATTATTTAGGTGAGTGCATTACCCACCGTATTGGCTTTCCATAATGGCAAAGTCGTGGATAGTTTTATGGGTGTGCAAAATTCATCATTTATTCAGAATTTTATTTCTAAATTAGTAAACTCAAAGAAAGATTAAAAGATTAAATGAGCCAAACAAAACAAAACAAAACAATAAATATGAATTCACTCGATTCATTTGTTTCTTGTAATAAACTTTAATTAAAAAAATTTATAATTTATCGTGTAACTAACACAAAGTTCTTGGGGTTTAATTAACACGTACGTACCAGTTAGTACAACATTTTACAAATACTTCCCACGTCATAGGATTGCTCCTATTCAACAAATTAGTATTAAGGATTTATTGGTGTTAATTTTTTTTGAATTTAATATCTTTGAATTATTTATTATTAATTATCGCATATACACGAGACCGATCAGTGTTGAAATTTTAGTCACGTTGCACGTTAGTTATTTAATTTATAATAGTTGCACAAGATTGAATCGTATCTATATGGTGAGCCCCCTATTACTATGGCTGTCCTTGTAGATCCTTTAGATTAAGCCTTAAAGTTGCACGAGTTTAATTTAATTGATGGTCACATACATATTAGGTAACCAAATATTTGCCTATTTCTATTAATTTTTAAGAAATTGATAGATCTACAGGCATTAAATACCGACTCCTGGGAGATAGCGACCCCAATTCATGGAATTTATGCATGGGTGGTGATTGGCTAAGTTATAAGTGAGTGCACACCCTCCTCTCCTGCCTGCCTTGTGAAAAGGAGTCGAAATTTTTTCAAAAAATAAAAATTTAACTTTTTTTTACATTTAGATCTTTATAACCTTCCGAGCTTTTTTTTCCTTTAATTAATTCTTTTTTATTTTAAAGGCAATATATATTTCTAATGTTATATTTTAATTTCAGAAAGAACTATTTCAACCGCAACATGATGGATATATATAACCAAGTGACGATATTGCTAATGACCAAATGATGATGATGTTATTATGAGTAATGAATGACATTTTATTGGTGAAGTGGGACATAATAACGTCGAATCAAGCTTGTTGGCCGTTGTTGTAAATATTGATTTACGTATTTCTGCCGAAAAAATCGATGAAGCTTTTGGTCAAGCACTACGTTTATATGATGTAAGGATTAGGTTGAAACTACTATTTAAATTGATGAAAAGTAATGTCAGTAGTGATAGCAATGAATGGGATGAATGGCTAGTCTGCTGATGACGATATTAGTAATCATTGAATTGCATGCAAGTTTATGTAAGAAAATTAGAAGAAAAAATCATGAGAGGAATAAGGCTAGTGATAGAAATGATGATCGACCGAAGAACTAATTATCCTGCTAACAATGATCGTAAATAGTTATGCAAAGACCTGATCATTGCTATCGTAATCTAATTACAATTACAGTTATAAAAATGGTTATAATGGCAGAAATCGATCTCTAGTGCAAAAATACTAGAGATAATATGGGATCAGGTCATTAGAAACAAGACGTGTTTAGAAAATCATGCTTTGAGAAAATCAACAAAAAAGATTTGCATCCAAACAACTTGCTTTTGTATTTACTGTAAAACTTCAAAGAAAATATCTTTAAAAATATTCTTTGCGATGAGAGTGACATTAACTCAAAATTGACTTTTGGGCAACATGCCTTGTTTCCATCGATCAGACCATATTATCAGAAGAAACAATAGTTGATTAATTTTTTTTTGACATAAGGATCAAAGGACATACAAAGGCTGGATTATTAATTTCTTTTATATAATTGGATCAAAGATCTGGATAATTAATTTCCTTTGCTCAAGAGATAGGACTGTTCTTTGCTTAAAGAATCAAAGAAGATCAAAAATCCAATCTTGAGAGGTAAAACTGAAGGTAATAATATAAAAGGTTAAAAATGCGAGATTTATTATGATAATAATAATAAATTATTTTTTTTCTATCTTAACTTCTCGTTGAACAATAATGAATATTTATATGTTATGGATATATCGTTGTGATAAATTATAGCTTTGATTATTATTAAAGAGAGAAAAAAAATAGAGATAACCAGATACTTAAAAAATAGTATTATATCATTGATCAATTAATGAATATTTTTTTGCCATGTTTAAACCAAGCGCATAGTAATAAAGTCTACTGTCAATCAACAAATTATTTTCGTATTTTTTTTGCATTTCTTTTAAAAAAAAATTTTTTAAATATAAGTAATTATGTTTATAAATTTATATAAGTAATACTAAAGTATGGTTAATTACTTTGTAAATCTTCTAATAAATTATTTAAAGGAACTTTTATAACTTGTAAACTCCATTCATCTTCATCCAGCGTTTGTATAGGCTTCGAATCACTCCCAGAATCAATCTTTTTTTACCAATGCAAAATAAAGTTATTAAAGATTTATTTTATAGTATTGTGTTAATAATAATAATACCTTGACATCTACAATTCTTGTACTTGAATCTGTTAATCCTGGCTCATAACAAATCGGATCATATATTTTTTGAATAGTTCCGGTATAACCTGTTTCTTCATTAAATTCACGAAGTGCTGCTTTTTCAATTGTTTCATTAGAATCAACTAATCCTATTAATTAATTATAATTGTTTAATTATTAATTATAAATAAATCTGGAAACCTCTAAATTGAGAGTTCAACCTGAAGGAAGTTCAATACAATACTTCTTAATTGGTGGACGATATTGAATTACCAAAAGAATTACAGGTAAAGAATCTGATTTTTCAATGATTGCATGTATGTCAACAGCTAAATAATATTTTTTTATTTATTAAGAGTTTTTCAAAATTTATTCATCATCATCATCATTACTTATTATTTATTACCATCAACGTCAACATTCTTATCATTCTCATCATCAATTTCTTTTTTTCTACGACAAAATTCCCATGTTCTTTTAACGTTATTAGGATCTGTATACTCTACTTCTTCTAATTCTAGCCATTTACCACCTCCAAGTTTTTTTACGTTTTTATTACTTTGTATTGGAAAAATTTTTAAATCATCCATTTAATAAATAATAAATTAGGTGATGTTTGAGAAAATCAAATTTTTGTCACAGGTGTGTTAATCGATCGAATTCTATGATATTGTTAATATCTAGAAGCCATAACCCATTTTACTTGATAAAATTTAGAGTTGTGGGCTATTGTGACAAAATCAACCTGCCACAGAATCATCACCATAACACCCACTGCATAAGTTCGTTTTGCTTTTCTAAAGGTTCTTTTTAAACAAGCAATTAATCAATTATAACCATGTACTTTTACTTATATACTGATAGGATATTCAAACGAAACGAGAAAAAAATTGCAATCGCAAAGTATTCTTGTAGTCACCACCGTAAACCAAGAAATTAAAGTCTTAGGAAATAATGATGAAACAAGACGACCGGTTGGTAAACCTTCTTCAAACAATGCTACCACTATTACACTCTTATTATTTATTACTATTTTATACATTATTTATTTATACATTTATCTGTTGTTTTTTATTGATAAATCGACAAAATCTGTTTTGAAAGATTACAAGAAGCCGTCTTTTCAGATAAAATCGGCCTTTACTGGTAAAATCGGTATTTGCTGACAAAATCAGTATTGGAAAGTAAAAACAGTCTCGAATTAATACCAAGTATAAAAAGAACTTGAGGTTACTTGTATTGTCAGACAAATTTTGGCTTGAAAGCATGTTTCGGCTCGATAAACCAATACCCAAAAACTATTCGTTGGTAAATCCTTGTTTGTTTAATTATGTATTTTATTTTGTCATCAATTAATTCGTTCTCTCGCTCATTCGACCTATATAATCTGTAACAATAAAAGCACAATTAGGATAATGATTTCCCAATATCATGAATCATAAATTTAATTCTTTTGAAACATATGAAACTTTAACCCATTAATATTCTCTTATTAATTAAAATCAATTTCTTTTCAAGGCATATAATGTTGTTCAAGGGTCAAACAAGCGAAATAAATAAGCGAATTTAGTAGATCAAAAAACGAATGCTAAATGGCTGGAAGAAAGATAAAGATGTCCAATATGAATTTAATATCTTGCATGGTTAAAATAATAAACGAAAATATTTCGCATGGTATTAGTAATGCAAGGGTTAAATTGGATTTTCTTTGACATATAAAAAGTGATTAAGCAGATATTGACGAACAAGTAAAAGAAGAGTATAGTGTTAATGAGAAGAAAAATATATTGAGTGTGAACGACCAATAGAGGCTTTAAATGCTCAGGATTCATACGCCATTTCTTTTGTACATTCATTTATAATCGACGTTGGCAATCCTCAAATGAAGTTATGACATCGACCAATATCTCAAATTCAAATTATGATGTCAGCCAACAAAAAGGATCCTGGCGCCAATAAAGATTTATATAATTGCTGGTATTCATCATCATCAAATGTTATGGGTTAATAATTTAATCATAATCATAATAATCTTTTTAATCATTCTTCTAACTAACTATTCGCTTCACCACTAATGTTGATTCTGAAATTATAGAGTTTCGCAACTATGCGAAAACGAAAAGGGTTCGGCATCAGTTTTTAACCTTTGACATATAACTTTTAATTTTCGTTTTGAATTTCGCCTCTTCAAAATAGTTTTGGTGACCGACACTGTTCACCGCCCAAATAAATTATCATCCGAGAAGAAATGATCGGTTCTCTTTCACCACGTGATCCAAACTTTGTAACGTCTCCTATATAATTATTTTTTCTTATTTGTATAGAACGACAATATGAGGATATCCAATCCTAGTTTATTAGATTAATCAAAGTTTAATTGGTTTTTATTAATTGATTCCAGTACAACACAACCGTTAATCATTAATACTTTGTTTCAATGACGTCAGGGAGGATTAATATATGTGATTTTGTCAATAATCTACGTATAAAATACGCAAGATCATATCAAAATATTACAGTATTTGTTTTCAAAATTATTATCCTTAATTTATTTAAATTCAAAGTTTTTTTATACAATCACCTTTTGTAAATCCTTTAATAATACTCAAAATGATACAAAAAGAAAGTGATAAACGATCTAAAGTCTTTTCATTAAAAAACTTGATCGATCGAAATATTTGGAATTCTCATGTAGGGTAATGCTTTTTTCGTTAACTATAGAGGGTTCTTGTTTTCTTTTTCATCACCCTAATATCGCACACACTTAAATTATTTCACAGTATCTTGACAAAAGAACTGGAATGCATGTCATTGTTAATTACACAAATATATATATAATAACGACATATTAAATTCATACCATATGTGACTTAGATTTGGATAAATAATCATGTGTTTCAAACTTTCTATATAGCTTGAGCAATAATAAATGATTTTTATTAACATTTATTAACAACTTTAAAAATCTACATAAAATGAAAATTTTCACAATATATTTTATTGTGTACTTTATTAAATTTTACTTTTCCTACTATCTAGACAAAAGTTTAGAAATATGTGTCTTCATTGACATGTGTTAAAACAATCGAAATTCGTGATAACGTCTCAATATACATGTATATTAAAAATGAATAAGTTTATATCAGTTTGAGCTCAATAAAAAATAAATAAATTATTTTGATTTTTTTATTATTCAAGCTATAGGTAAGTACATTATTTCAAATGGGTCTCTGAATATTTTTTGAGTAAATGAAATAAATAAGCGAGGTAAATACTAGCAGAAGGTGCAGGTGTTTTATCCATTAAAGTCAAAAAAAAAAGAACAAATATTTAACAAATTTGAACTCCGATTTCTTTTGATTTCAGAAAAAGCATACTTTGAACAATTTAAATAATTATTACTGAGCAAGTTTCATGGTATTGATTTCAATTCTTAAAGGTTATGGGTATTTTAACAAAAAATTTTATAAATAAATAAAGGAGCTCCTAAACTTGGTAAAATCCTGATTGAAAAAACAAAAATAAATTATTACTCATTTAGCAATTCCTCTGAAAAATTATGTACTTGTGAGCAAAGTCACAAGGCCATTTCATCATCAGGATAATGATGGTAATGTAGTACTACTTAATAATTCGGGAAGGCACAAGATTGGGTCAAGATTTCGCTGTTAGAGGAAATTACTTTGATTGGAGCGCAGCTACTCATTTCCATAATAATTTATTATTTGTTCAAAAAGGAAAAAATCGGGTTTTATCTTTTTCCAAAATAATTTTATTAAAAGACATCAAGTAAAGTTAAAAATGTCATATAATAAATTGTTATCATTGACATCACAAGAAAGAATGAAATTTGTATATAAAATTCATAGTGAAATATTTAATAATGCTAATGCTAATTCTGACAGAGAAAATAGAAAAGATTATTTTTCTTCATTAGTCAAGAAAAACAAGGAGCTTTCTGACAATGAAAAAGAATTTTGTAAAGAAAAGTTTATTTATGAATTTGAATTAAATAATGTAATATATAAAAAAGGCAAACCCAAAGAATGTAACAAGTGTAAATTGATAAAATACTCTGATAGATTCTGTGAAGGTTGTATTAGTTTACAATTACAGAATCTTTTCACTACTTGGACTTCTGGAAATAACATAGTTGATAATTTTATTCAACAATGTCAAATGAAATCATCTTTGCCACAATATATTTTAGAATGGATACCTTTTGAGCAATTTGAAAAGGTAACAAAATTAACTGAAGGTGGATTTAGTTCAATTTATACTGCTGGATGGACAAGAGGAGAAATAATTGATTACAATGAGAAGGAAAAAGAATTTAGTTATTTTGGTGGTCGATATGTAGTATTAAAAAGTTTAAATAATTCAAGTAATCCAGGAAAAAGCTTTTTTGATGAGGTTGGTAATAATTTTATTTAAACCAAAAATATATGCTGTATTATATAGTACTAAATGATTTTACATTTAATTACAGGCAATAAATTATTGTAAAATTAAATCAACAATGATTGTTAATTGCTATGGTATAACTAAATTCCCAGATAATGGAAATTATGCAATAGTTATAATGTATTTATCAGAAGGAAATTTAAGGGATTATTTACAAAAAAACCATTCTATTTTGACATTAAAAAATAGAATTGCAATTTTTAAATGGTTATGTGTTGCATTATATGATATACATGAAAAAGATTTAATTCATTGTGATTTACATAGTGGTAATATATTATTAGAAGGAGGTATTGGTTTTATTACAGATTTAGGGTTATGTGGACCAGTTGATGGAAAGTCATCAAATAAAATATATGGAATTGTGTCATGCATTGCACCTGAGCTACTTAGAGGCACAAATAATATAAAGCACACAAAGGAAACAGATATTTACAGTATTGGGATGTTAATGTGGGAAATATTTGCAGGCCATCCACCATTTGATGATAGAGCTCATAATCATCATTTAATTTTTGATATATGTGAAGGTTTAAGACCACCAATATTACCTGAAATGCCTGATGATTATGCACAAATAATGCAGAAATGTTGGGATGTGGATCCATCAAAAAGACCAACTATTAATGAGCTTCAGACATTTTCTAAAAATAAACTTGGTGAAATTTTTAAAAATAAAAGTTCAACAAATAAAAGCTTGAAAAATGATAGTTTAATAAAAAGATTATTCAAGTTTTCTAAAGTTAAAAAACATGAAGTTGAATTTAATAACGATGGTAGCAGCAGCAACAACAGTGATGGCAATGTTGGTGGTGGCAGCAATTTGCAACAAATACACAAATCACATCCAGAAGCATACCATACAAGTAGAATATTAGACGATGAAATTACCAAATCAAAAAGCCTAAAAAGTTATATGAGTAATGATAGTACATTAGTTGATCCTGATTTCTCTTAAACAAAGGTGAATTAACTTATTCATTACTAATTAATTTTTCATTACTACTTGTTAATTATTATAATAATCTCTTTTATTCACATTTAATTAATTAATAAACATTAGATTTTAATAATAACAGTAAGGAAAAGGTTGGGATTAAAATATTATGAATTAGTTGATGAATTAGAAATTTATAAATCACCAGTTTTGGTTAGCAAACTGAGGTTTATATTCCAACAATAATAGTTTATTTAATACAAAAAAATATAACCAAATTTATACCATATGTATCTTACATTTAGATAAATATTCATGTAAGATTTAATTCTATAGCTTGAGTAATAATAAATGATTTTTATTAACTTTTAACAACTTTAAAAACCTACATAAAATGAAATTTTCAATATGAAAGTTTAGATTAAAAATTTTACTTTTTTCTAGACCTGAACAAAAGTTTAGAAACATTCGTCCTCAATGATATATACAGGGTTGTGCAATTTCGCCGTACGTACGACTGACTTCGTACCATACAGTTTCGTTGTGGTTGTACACCTGTATGAGGAAATTTTACATATGTATGTACGAATGTATCATGAACGATTTTCTGCAGTGACAAAATATTACTTTGTAAAATCCTATAATAATAATATTATTAAGCTGATAATCCTATTACTATAATTAATGGATTACCAGATGTTGTAACTGGGGTCGTAATACTACTTTACTATCAGAAAAAACCTGATTATCATGTTATGTAAATCCCTTGTTATTATGTAGTAGTATTATATACGTTATTATTATAACCAGTGTGTGCAATTTCGCTGTACGAGCGTACGATGATTTTCTGTGGTGATAAAATATTATTTTGTAAAATCCTATAATAATAATATTATGCCGTCAGCCTTATTACTATTACGATTACTATAATTAAAGGTCGTAACAGATCGTAATATTACTTCGTTATCAGAAGACCCCTAATTATCATATTATGCTTATATTATCCTATGGTGCATTATTATTAGTATTAGTAGTATTATTATTTACCGTGATTCCCAAATTTTTTTTTCTATTTATTCAAAAAAATTATCTCTACACCCTTGTTAATTATATTAATAATGAATAATATCTTCAATCATATACAGCATGTAGTTAATTCCACAATATAGTCAAACATTGACACAGCGTATGAATGGGGGACAAACAAATTTTATTTAAAATCCGTTGTGCAAAAATTTTTAAAAATCCGTTATAACAAGAGCTTGATTATTGTTATTATTATTATAGTTCGCTGTGGCAAGGTCTGACGAATTCAACATATACACTGCCCTCCAAAAAGCATTCGGACGATGTTTTTCGATAATTACGCAAAATGCCACATAACGAAAGTACATAAAATTTATGTCATAATGTGGCTTAGGTTTTGGAGAACCTATCATTATTTTATGATTTTTAGTTAAAAAAAACAAACACTGGTCAAAATTTATCTTATTTTATGATGATCATTTTATATGTTTTTTTAACGGTAGGGAGAGATTCAGTATGGTATAACTCTTGCAGAACGTATGGTATGGTATAGCCCATATTTTTCCATACCAAGCCACACAAAATTTTATTCTAAATCCTTTTTTGGTGGGTGTGAAGGGAAGTATGTTAGATTTAAGCATTGGTATACAACCATTTTATTACACTTATACAATACCATACCATACGTTTTGCAAGAGTTATACCATACCGAATGTCCCTATACTCTTTTTTTAAATTTTCGGCATTCTCATAATGTTTGATAGTGTCGTGAACTGTAGACTTTGGAATATTAAGTGTCTTTGCAATTTTTGCAAGAGAACTACCAGCTATTCTTAGACCTAAAATTTTCCTCGCTCAGCTTCAGTTAATCCTGAATTTTTTGCCATTTTTAAAAATCAAAAAAAATCGTGAAATTTTTTTTGATCTAATCAATTTTATTGGTATCAGTTTATTTTTAATAACAAAAATTTCACACGTGACAGGAACATAAAGTTTTAGTCGTTTATTTATGAGGACCCAAATTACAAACTATTAAATTTTTATTGAATTTTATAATATAAAATTTTGAGAAACATAAATTATTAAATATTCGCAAAGATAATCCTCGTGATTTATTTGGTGTTCGTTTTTTTTAACTAAAAACCGTAAAAGAAAGACAGTATTATGTAGAGTTGCCAAAACCTAAGCCATATATGGTATAAATTTTATGTACGTTCGTTATGTGGCATTTTGCGTAATTATCGAAAAACATCGTCAGAATACTTTTTGGAGGGCAGTGTATGTTTATTATCTATATTTTACGCAGTCAACAAAAGCAAGTGTTCCGATACTTTTGTCCAGGTACAGTATATGAATTTTATAAAAAAATTAATGGAATTGCAACATTACAAAAAAAAAATATGTAGCTAGTTTTGATAGTAATTCTCAACTATTTTTATAAATAAATAATGAATTTTATTATTTTAAATTCAAAAAAAAACTTATCACGAATTATTTGTTGTTATTAATTCAATCTTGCATGCTGCAGAATAACGAGTTATCCAACTTTGTATAGCATTTATTACCTGTATGAAAAAAAAACTTTGCAAAATGGTAATTATTTTTTTGGAAAATTTTGTTCCGCCTCCATTCTTTTTCAAATTGTCTATAGAAATTACTTAACAAAATTATTTCTTTGAAATAAGTTTTTTTTATTGGGCTAATAAGGAAAAATAAATACAATAGCTAATATATCCAATGGATGACAGAAGATCAATATGCTAGATCTTTACTTAACATGAGTGAAAATTTTTTTTCAAAAAATTATCAAAAGCAAAAACGACTAAACCTCATCCACAAACTTTTATTCATTTAACTTTTTACAATATACAGTATATACTTTTACTATTTAGGAAAAAGTGTTTTCCGATGCAAATTGGCAATATTAATATAATATAAATCAAAAGTCTATAATGGTCATTATTAAAAAATAATTTATTATTATTATATTTCTAAAAATCTAAAAGCGGGTTTTTTTAATCTAATACCAATTTCAAAAGAATTTTAATTTTGACATATATTTTTTAAAAAAAATTATGGACAATTTGGGATTCCGTGATCTCTTAAATTTTTGTTATGTAGATCCGGGATATCAAACTTATTAATTTCTATCGTTAATCGGCGGACCACCAAATAATATCTATCACGTTTACCGTTAATGTTGGACGTGATTTGGTTTTACTTTTTTTGTTAGACCCGTAAATTTCATATCTATCACGTTCACCGTTGTTGTTAGACGTTGATGATGGTGATTTTGTTTTAATCTTCTCATTAGACTCGTAAAGGACAGTCTTTTAATATTTTTCACGTTTATCGTTTAGACCTTGATGATGGCGATTAGGATTTAATCCTCTTGTTAGACTCATAACGGTCAGTCTTTTCGTCTCTATTACGTTTACCGTTATTTTTGGACGTCAACGGTGATGATTTGGTTTTAATCCTTTCGTTGGAGTCATAAAGGTCGGTATTTATTACGTTTATCATAATTGTTTAGATGTTGATGATGGTGATTTGGTTTTCTCATATTTATCGTTAATTTTAGACGTTGAAGTGGTTTTGTTTTAATCCTTTCGTTAAACTCCATCAGGAAATTAATTTAGCATAAACTTGCATAAATATTATGATGCCAATGTAATATTACATAAATCTTACGGTGTCGATGTAAGTTTTGCACTTTTTTGTTATTAAACTTACGATTGGCATGTGCAGATTTTTTTATATTTTCCGGATGTCGTAAACTTTTATCTTTTCGTCTCTATAACGTTTATTCTTATTGTTATATGTTGACGAGAGTGATTTGGCTTTAATCATCTCGTTAGAATCATAAAGGGTTGTTTTTTCATATTTATCGCGTTTATCGTTAATTTTATACGTTGAAGATGATGATTTTGTTTTAATCCTTTTGTTAAAGTCGGAAATTTTCGTCTTTTCATCTCTATAACGTTTATTCTTATCGTTGGATGTTGACGATGGTGAGCTGGCTTTAATCATCTCGTTAGAATCATAAAAGGTTGATTTTTCATATTTATCGCGTTTATCGTTAATTTTATACGTTCATCAGGAAATTTTTCTGACGCAGATTTACGTAATTATTACACTATTTACGTAAGTTTACGGCGGGCCCGTAATATTATGCAAATAAGCATACAAAAATTATGCAATTATTATATCGAGTGTAAATATTACATGATTTTTATGCAAATATTACAACTTTACATATTAAAATTTACGGACGTAATATTGCGGCGGGGAAAATTTCCTGATGTTGACGATGGTGATTTGGCTTTAATCATCTCGTTAGAATCATAAAGGGTTGTTTTTTCATATTTATCGCGTCTATCGTTAGTTATATACGCTGACGATGGTGATTTGGCTTTAGTCATCTCGTTATAACCATAAAGGGTTGTTTGTTCATATTTATCACGTCTATATATAGATAATTTTAGACGTTTGCGATGGTGATTTAGGTTTAATCTTCTCGGCATCAGGAAATTTTTCTGACGCAGATTTACGTAGAGATGGGCAAATGACGTATAGTTGAACACTATACGACACTATACGATACTTTACGTATAGTGCGTATAGTACGTATAGTAATGTTGAAATTTGATCGGGTGATTTTCCAATGTAATACAAAACTGAATAATAATAAAAAGAAAAAGAAATAATTTGGCTATTACTATTATGATAATCATAAATCTTTAATTTATTCAACCTACATTTTTTTAGGTTTTTATTTATAAATCATTAATTATATTGAATGAATTAAATATCATAAAAATCAAAACTTCTTTCACTTTTATTTAATTCTTCAATAAAATTTTCATTAGCTTCTTTGATGAAATCTTCAATTATGTTGTAATTTACCTGTACACCAAGTATTTGAAGTATTAAAATGTTCACCAAAATAATTTCTTTTAATTTGAATTGTGGCATCTGGACAAAGACGTAAATGTTTTTCACATCTAGATATTGAACTAGAACGTTAATATTAAAATGTTGCCAAATTGCAGGCAAGTTTAAAATATATATTATCGTGAGAAGAGATTAATTAATTTTTATGTGTAACATCACATCTATTATTTGGCAATAACCTAAACAGGAATTGATTTACATTTACGTATAGTATTATACGTATAGTACTGATCTGCCCATCTCTAATCACGTTTACCGTTAATGTTGGACGTGATTTGGTTTTACTTTTTTTGTTAGGTCTGTCGTTTCATGCATATCACGTTCACCGTTATTGTTAGACGTTGATGATGGTGACTTGGTTTTAATCTTCTCATTAGACACGTAAAGGGCTGTCTTTTAATATCTTTCACGTTTATCGTTTAGACGTTGATGGTGGCGATTTGGTTTTGATCCTCTTGTTAGACTCATAACGGTCAGTCTTTTCGTCTCTATCACGTTTACCGTTATTTTTAGATGTTGATGATGGTGATTTTGTTTTAAACTTCTCGTTAGACTCATTAATAATGCATGGCGAAATGTTTTTGGAGTTGAGAAACTATTTCGTCAAATGTAATAAAAAATGACGAAAGACTAAACCCATGATGAAAGACTAAATCCTTGGCGAAAGTAAAAACCCTTGGCGAAAAGTAAAAATCTTTGCAAAACAAAAAAAAATTTTTTATTAAATTTTTAACTATAATTATTCATATTTTTGTTTTTTTATTTTTTACAACTTCATTGTAAACATTTCTTCTATGTAAATTATGTTGTTTTAATGTATGAAGTGAGCCAAAAAAAAAAAAAAAAAGATAAAAAAAAAAGTAGCAGTAAAACATTTAATAATACAAAAAAAAAAGAATTAACGAATGTGAGTTTTGTTAAATTTATCTGTTTATTTTTACATTATTTTTTATTCTTTATGATTTATTTTATATCATATTATTATGTGCATATATAAAATTCAGTAATTTTTTAATATAATTTAAATACCCAATATCAAAAAAAAATTAAAAAAAAATTTAATTTTAACAATGTATTGTAATAATGAATTTTCAATATATTCAAAATTAAATGTCAGTAATTAGAGAGAATGTAAATTTCTTTTTTATGATTATATGGTGATGGTGGTGGTAACTATAAATAGTAAGTAAACATTCGTTACTCTAGTTGCAAAACAAAAGAATTGATTTTTTATTTTCGTCAACTATTTTTACTTTCGTCAACTATTTTTACTTTCGTCAATTATTTTTACTTTCGTCATCAATTTTTACTTTCGTCAAATCGTCAAAATGCCTCTTGGTGAGAAACTAATTTAGTCAGCACTTTCGCCACGGCAATGATTAAAGTCGAAAGTTTCGTCATGCAACATCAAGACTCATAGAAGTTTGTCTTTTCATATTTATCACGTCTATCGTTAATTTTAGACGTCGATGATGATTGTTCGATTTTAATCCTTTCGTTAAAGACATAAAGGTCGGTCTTTTTGCCTCTATTACGTTTATCATAATTGTTAGATGTTGATAACGATGATTTGTTTTAATCCTTTTGTTAGACTCACAAATGTTTGTTTTTCGTCTTTTATCACGTTTACCGTTATTGTTAAACGTTGATGAAGGTGATTTGGTTTTAATCTGATTGTTTGATTCATAAAATTTTGTCTTCTCATATTTATCGTTAGTTTTAGACGACGATTATAGTGATTTTGTTTTCGTCCTTTTGTTAAACTCGTAAAAATTTGTTTTTCGTCTCTATAACGTTTATTGTTATTGTGAGATGTCGATGATGGTGATTTGGTTATAGTCATCTCGTTAGAATCGTAAAGGATTGTTTTTTTATATTTTTCGCGTTTATCGTTAATCTTATATGTCTATGGTGGTGATTTTGTTTTAGTCCTTTTGTTGGACTCGTAAAAATTTGGTTTTTCATCTCTATAACGTTTATTGTTATTTTTAGATGTCGATAATGGTGATTTAGTTTTAGTCATCTCGTTAGAATCGTAAATGATTGTCTTTTCACGTTTATCGTTGATTTTAGACGTTGACGGTGGTGATTTAGTTTTAATCTTATCGTTAGACTCGTAAACGGTTGTCTTTTCATATTTAATACGTTTATCGTTAATTTTAGTCGTTGGTGATGATGATTTTTCTTTAATCATCTCGTTAAAATCACGTTTATTGTTAAGTTTAGGCGTTGATGATGTCGATTTGAGTTTATTCTTCTCGTTAGAATCATAAACCGTTGTCTTTTCATATTTATTACGTTTATCGTTAATTTTAGTCGTTGACGATGTTGATTTGGTTTTAGTCTTTTCGCTAGAATCATAAACCGTTGTCTTTCCATATTTATTACGTTTATCGTTAATTTTAGATGTTGAAGATGTTGATTTGGTTTTAATCTTCTCGTTAGAATCATAAACCGTTGTCTTTTTGTATTTATTACGTTTATCGTTAATTTTAGTTGTTGATGACAATGAGTTTGTTTTAGTCATCTCGTTAGGATCGTAATGGGTTGTCTTTTCATGTTTATCGTTAATTTTAGATGTTGACGATGTTGATTTAGTTTTAGTCTTCTCGTTAGACTTGCAAAGATCAGTCTTTTCGTCACCCTCACGTTTATCGTCAATGTTAATCGTTGATGATGGTGTAGATGCGGGAAATGTAGATGTTATTTTTGTATAAAATAGGACGTAGGGCTTACACTCGAGTACGGAATTGATTGAAACCTAATTTTTTAAGATTAATTAATTAATTAATGATTTATCATTTGCTATTGAAAAACTTGTATACATATATATATATATAATACTTACTCGTTGAACATATCTATCATTATATAAATACCATTCATTGTTTCTATTTTTGATATATGAGTAATAATGTCCTTTACGAATGGTACTACCTTCATGAACCAAGACAGCGCTAAGATTATAACGAACATTTTTACCCTTTAACAATAAATTGTATGATTTGTATTTAATTAGCATTATGTTATTAATGCATAAACATATTATCATTTTCATTATTTAATTATTTAATTATTTACCCCCAAAATATATTTCGAAATGTCTAGTACCTCTCCAAATTCCACACGTTTTGAAATCTTGTATCCTTGCTTCGTGGAGCTGGAGAAACCGAATCTTTTCAATTGTACTATAAGAGTATTTGGCTCTTCTTTTATCGTAAATTCTTGGTTGCAAGTAAACTTATTGCACCTAATAAATAAGATTATGATTTATTTAGAAAATCAGATATTTCCAAGATCAATTATAATAACAATGATAATAATACTTACGAGCACTTGAAACCAGGTAATTCGGCGGATTCACAATACTCATCAAAGCACTCTTCTATTGAATTTTTCGTTGCTGCAGAGATCGTAACAACGCTTTCTGTCGACAAAGTCTCTCTCTTACAATTTTGACAAGTTATCTAATAAATTTTTTTTCTTTCGTTAGTATATCAATTTATAAATAAACAAAATTAATGAATCAATTTTTTATTGTATAATGATAACAACAATAACCTTCTTTTGTAGAGTTGTCCAGAAATCATAATACATATGTTGTGCGATCATGTTCTCATTGACACATTCGCCCACCTTTTGAAGAATGCCACACAAATATAAGAAAGCATCATTTTGCTCGTTTACCTCGGCGAATGGTTCGATATCTAATAATAATATAAATTGTAAATTAATTTATAATATACGTATTCAAATAATACAAATAAACATTAATTAAATTACATACCTGTAAGATAGGTGATGAATGGGCCAGCATAAACTGGTTGCCGTGATTCCATAAGTTTAATACGCAACCGTTTTAATTCATTGAAAATACATACAGGACTACAATAACCTACATAGTGGTAATAGCGATGTAAAGGTAATACCGATGTAGTGGTAATAGCGATGTAGTGGTAATAGCAATGTAATGGTAATAGCGATGTAGTTGTAATAGAGATGTAGTGGTAATAGCGATGTAGTGGTAGTAGCGATGTAGTGGTAGCAGCGATGTAGTGGTAGTAGCGATGTAGTGGTGATAGCGATGTAGTGGTAATAGCGATGTAGTGGTGATAGCGATGTAGTGGTAATAGCGATGTAGTGGTAATAGCGATGTAGTGGTAATAGCGATGTAGTGGTAATAGCGATGTAGTGGTAATAGTGATATAGTGGTAATAGCGATATAGTGATAATAGCGGTATAGTGATAATAGCGATAATAGTGATAATAGTGATAATAATGATTAATAGATAGCGATAGTAATGATAATAGCAATAAAGTGATAGTGATAATAGTGATAAAAGAGTATTTAATAAATTAAATAATATATATAGCATGATCAAAGTATTTGATTAATGCAAAGAGTATTTACATTGATGGTTGCCGGTAGATTCTAAATGCCTTTCTGCATTGGGAAGATGTACGAGGACTTGAAGGATCGAATTAATGAAGCATACAACGTTATTATCGTTTCTTAATCCGGCTCCGTTATTAAAACCAGCTTCATTATTATTATTATTAAAACCAGCTCCGTTATTAAAACCAGCTCGATTATTAAATCCAACTTTATTATTGTTGTTTCTGAAATTCTGATTATTGTTTCTGAAATTACGGTTATTGTTTTTGAAATTACGGTTATTGTTTTTTCTCGCCATTACTGTGTGTGTTTCTTGATAATAAGAATTTAAATTTTTTTTTTAGAGAAATAAAATTTAATTTTATGTAATGAGGTGAGAAGTGTTTTTTTTTTTATATAACTACTTGAGAAAATTCGCCGCACCTATATATATGTAAATTTTATGTATGTTTCATTTGTTAGAAAAAATTTTATACATAAGTAGGAGGGTAAATAAAATTGTAAAAGACATTATTTTTTTTTTTATATTACTTTATTCTATTATTTTTGAAAAAACCTTTGACATAATATAACTTAAAAAGGAAATAAAAATTAGTGTAGACTCTTTACGATAATAATAAAATAAATACATCTCCAAATCGTGTGAAAACAAAGGGGTTGTCTTTTTACAAACTTGCTGATTTATTACTATTGTACAATAAATAAATAAGTTCTATTATGTTAAAAACATTTCATCTTTACAAAATAATTACGTTGACTAGGTGACTCGCCGTTCGTTATCGCATAATGGATATTAATTATTAAAATCTATCTACAAATCATGCCTTAGAATAGATAGCTACACATTATTTATTACCATAATAATAACATAGATATTTCGTCATAAACAATTGATCATATATAATTTATAATTTTAATTTTATTTTTAAGTTTTTTTTTTTTGCGAAAGATTGTTAGTCAATTAGTTTTATTTATTTTTGGAATTTAATTTATACATATTTTAAAATACATAGATAAATAACTTCATGTTATTGAAAACTTTTCTCACATGTATAAACATCGTGACCAATCTTCACCACCACCTTAATTTTATTATTAATAAATAAAATTGCTTGATTAATATTAAAAAAATTCTCTTTACGATAATAATAAATATAAGCAATAAAAAATATATCTCCAGATCGTGTGAAAACAAAGGGGTTGTCTCTTTACAAAACTTGCTGATTTATTACTATTGTACAATAAATAAATAAGTTCTATTATGTTAAAAACATTTTATCTTTACAAAATAATTACGTTGACTAGATGACTCGCCGTTCGTTATCGCATAATGGATATTAATTAAAAAAATCTATCTCCAAATCATTAAAAATTTTTGTCTTGGAATATTTACACACTACTTATTACTATTATAATAAATAACAACTACATAGATATTTCGTCATGAAACAATTGATCATATATAATTTTTTTTTTTTTTTTGTGAAAGATTGTTAGTTAGTTTTTTATGTTATGAAAACCTTTTAGTTTTAATTTTATTATTAATAAATAAAATTGCACATATGTGTTTAGATGGGTAATTATATAATTTTATTAATATTTGGCAATTCACCACCTGCAAAATAAAAGTCTCTTTACGATAATAGTAATAATAACAACATCAATAAATATATATAAGCAATAAAAAATATATCTCCAAGATTGTGTGAAAACAAAGGTGTTGTCTCTTTACAAAACTTACTGATTTACTACTATTGCACAATAAAATAAAAAAGTTCTATTATGTTAAAAAAATTTCATCTTTACAAAACAATTATGTTGACTAGGTGACTCGCCGTTCGTTATCGCATAATGGATATTAATTAAAATTTTTGTCTTGGAATAGTTACACGCTATTTAAGCATTAGTGGAAATTTGAAATGTTACATTAATTTTTTATATTGTGCAACGTAGCTTTACAATAAAAAAAAGTGAATTTGAATTGGATCTGAACTTGATCTCCAATTTATAGAGGTAACAACTATATATATACCAATGAAGTTTCAGGAGCAATGGATTCTGTATAACATTTCGTGTAACAACTACATAGATATTTCGTCATGAAACAATTGATCATATATATTTTTATTTTTATTTTTATTTTTAAAATTTTTTTTTTTTTTTTTTTGCGAAAGATTGTTAGTTTTATTTATTTAGAATTTATTTTATACACATTTTAAAATACATACATAAATAATTTCACATTTTTCCACATATATAAATATTGTGACCAATCTTAATCTTTGCCCAGCATAGTGGAATTTTGAAATGTTATATACACTAATTTTTTATATTGTACAACGTAGCTTTACAATACATGGCAAACATTCTGGCAATAAAAAGTAAGTGATAAACTGGATTTGAATTGGATCTGAACTTGATCTCCAATTTAAAGAGATAACAACTATATACTGGTGAAGTTTCAGGAGCAATG